AATTTCGTCATTTAAAATTGTATTTCTCATTTTACTTTTACTCATTGCAGACCCCCAATTTTATGATTATTTTACATTTAGAATCAATCACTATTTACAATTTAGATTTTTCTTTTCCCAAAAAATCTAATCAAGGGGCCATCCTTGATGACTTTTATAATCCTTATAGTACTCATCTTGGAGATATTAATATTAAATGATAGATTTCATTAACACTTAAACCGTTGATTGAGGTGATCGTTCAACACATATGTATTTGTATTTGTGAAGCACATATTCACGGTACATATATACAACTTCAATTTAGGATGTAATTATGGCTCGTTATAAAACTTACAACTTCGATGCACACTAGAAAAATTGCAATTATTGCCGATTCCTAAACATATCCTTTTTTTTATAACAAAGACTTGTATTTAAAGAAACCAAAAGAACACGGGTCAAGAATAGGGTAACCCCCATCAACAAAACAAGAAATATGAATAACATTAAGGGCAACATGCCCTTCAAAACATGAAAAAGAAGCCCATTTGCCTAAATTCAAGGCCGCCTTATTTGCCGATCGAGGTATGAATTTGAACTTCCATTTGGGCTAAAGATTCCAGAATCGTTTTGATCTCATCAATGGACACTTGTGCGGTCCACTGGGGCGAATGATCATCTTCACAAAAGGCTTGAATAGCATCGATGCAATCGGATTCAAAGATGGCATTCGTGATCGTTGCAAAGTTAACGAGCTGGCCGGCGTGCGTCCAAGATGGCTAAAGCTTCAACAGCCATGGGGTCATTGCATGCATGGGGCTTTGAAGAGGCGAAAATGATAGAGCCGCTTGCGTTTCTATTAACACAAAGGAGATCAAGCAAAACATTTAAAATTGACTTTGATCATTAACTCATTGAAAGCAAGCTTCTAGATTTCTTGTTAATACATAAAGGCAATCCAAGGTGTTTTGATTTGTGGTTGCACTCCTTGAACCCTAAAATATTTAAAATTCAATCGAGGGCAAGTACTGTTATATATCCTATTGAAATACTTTCTCTGTCTTATATTATTTGTTTTTTTTGGAGGATTTTTCTTGTCCCAAATTATTTGTCATGTTAGATTTTCAATGAAGCATTAATTGCATTATTTTCAATTATTATCCTTTATCACTCCTTGAAACCTAAAATATTTAAAATTTCAATCGATGGCAAGTACTCTTACATATCCTATTGAAATACTTTATATGTCATATATTATTTGTCTTTTTGGAGGATTTTTCTTGCCCCAAATTATTTGTCATGTTAGATTTTCAATGAAGCATTAATTACAGTTGTTGGGTATCTGCCCGGAAAAGACAAACCACACAAAATCAAAATGCTCATATTTTATTAGGAGACAATTAAAATATATAATAATATTAGGATGCTAAAAATTGATAAGCTAGAACTTCAAGTCAAATGACACCAATTACCGAAAAACAACAACCAGCAATCAGACAATATTCAATAACAAATAAACATGATCATATGGATCAATTAAACAAACAAAAACTCATAATTAATAATAATCAGAATAAAGAATTTCGCAATAGTTACAAATTAGCATAAATTAAAAAAAAAAAAATGGAACCGTAGGCAGAATATAAATTCTGCAATGGGAAGCTCCAGCGGTGGTTCGATTTTTCGGCTCAGTCCTCGTCCAAGATCCAAGTGGGGCCTCCAAACACTCACGACATCCACACACACGCACACACACAGTGTATTCCAACGAAAAACAAAGAAAACGAAACACAAATTCAAACCCTAATCTGACCGGTTTATCCCTAAATATGTAAGCTCGAATTCATCGAAAAGAATCGAGCTTTTCTTGTCAAAAAGGATTCTCTATTTCACTCTATTTTTCCCTACTCAAATACACAAAGTATTCTCCATTTTCTCGTCTTTTTTTCTCGTTTTTTTCGTCACTTACGCAGAAAAGGAATAGGGTGCACTCATACACCCAAATCCTCCACCAAACTCACGAAGAATCAGGTAACAAATCACCAAGATTTGTTGAGGATATTAAGAAATATTTGTTGTGAGAAAAGGGGCGGATTAGAAAACGAATCTGCTGAAAAAACGAGAGTAGTAAAACGGTGAATAGAGAGAGAAAAGGAAAAACCTAGTGAGATGGGGCTGACTTTAATTTTGGGCTCAAATTTTGTGTAGGCTGCTCATAAGTGGGTTGCAAGGTGGAATTTTAATGGGCCATTCACAAAGAATTCATTTGGGCCACACCTCTACAAATCTCCACCTGGTCCAAATGGATCATCGGGACCCTTTTAGGAGAAATGAAGTCATCATTGCCGAATGACACTACCTGCACTCAAAACACAAAGTTAGTACAAGTTTAAAAAACAAAATACAAAGTAATGCAAACACAAGCAAAACACCAAGTAATGCAGAAAAAACAAGCAAAACACAAAGTAATGCAAAAAAGAAGCAAAACACAAAGTAATGCAAATATTCTAACACATTAGAATACATCCCACCATCAAATATCATATTGGCTTGATCTCTATGTTGGTTTTTCTTAGGCTTGGGACAATCACTAATAAAATGATTAATGTCACCGCAATTAAAACACCTTCTATTATTAGGATTAGCCTTCGACTTACTCCAATCTCCACCCTTTTTCTTATTTTGATCAATTTGACTAGAAGAAGCCTTGTTGTTTGAAAGCGATTAGGCTGACTTCCTTTAGTAAAATTAACCTCACCAAATGATCTATCCTTATTAATTCCCAATTCAAGTTCTTTGCTTTTTAAAGCATTAATCACAGTATCTAAAGTAATCTTATCTCTACCATACTTAATAGCAGACTTAACATCATTATAAATATCAGGAATAGCATTCAAGAGCACAATAAGAGTATATTCATCAATGTTCTTATCACCAGTTAATTTAATATCTTGAACTAACTTGGTAAAAACATCAATATTAGCATCAATATTTTCGCTTGAGTCCAATTTAAATCCAAAAAACTTTTTGAGCAAAAACATTTTATTGGGCGTTTTCAACATAAAGCTCTTCCAATTTATCCCATAAAGTTCTAGTAGAATCATGCTTTCCTACTTTTCTAATCACATAGTCACTCAGATTCAAGATAATAGCAGAATAAGCAAGATCATCAAGTTCTTCACATTTAGCACCACTTATAAAAACTTCCTCACTTGGAGAAATCGCTTTAAAACATGCTTGATGAATTAAAATGCCTTTCATTTTCTGTTGCCAAATAGAAAAAACACCCTTTCTATCGAAAGGAGCTAAAGATAACATAGACATAGATCCCATATTCCAAGTATCACAAATATAGCAAAATCACCAAGATTAAATATTAGCAGGATCAACACACAGAAGAATCACAAAGATTCAATATTCTTTAGCAAGATCGAATCACAAAGACTCCCAATTTTTTTTAAAAAATCACAAAGATTCACTATTTCAGAGAAAAAACGAATCACAAAGATTCCAATTTTCTAATATCACAAAGATAAAGAATCACACAGATTCACACAAAATATTAGCGGAAGCAATAAATAAAAGAATCACCAAGATTCACCAGACAGGTATAATTATCTCAAAGAATAAATCAACTCACCAAGAGTAGAAATTTATACATTAGCGAAACTCCTGGACCTGGGTTTCATACGCCGCTCCGGACAGACCCTTAACCTGGCTTTGATACCACTGTTGGGTATCCGCCCGGAGAAGACAAACCACACAAAATCAAAATGCTCATATTTTATTAGGAGACAATTAAAATATATAATAATATTAGGATGCCGAAAATGATAAGCTAGAACTTCAAGTCAAATGACACCAATTACCAAAAAACAACAATCAACAATCAGACAATATTCAATAACAAATAAACATGATCATAGGAATCAATTAAACAAATCAAAACTCCTAATTAATAATAATCAGAATTAAGAATTTCGGAATAGCTACAAATTAGCAGCAATTAAAAAAAGGAAAAGAAAATGGAACTGTAGGCATAATATAAATTCTGCAATGGGGAAGCTCCAGCGATGGTTCGATTTTTCGGCTCAGTCCTCGTTCTCTAAGTCCTCGTCCAAGATCCAAGTGGGGCCTCCAAACACTCACGGCATCCACGCACACACACAGTGTATTCCAACGAAAAACAAAGAAAACGAAACACAAATTCAAACCCTAATCTCACCGGTTTATCCCTAAAGAAGTAAACTCGAATTCATCGAAAAGAATCGAGTTTTTCTTCTAAAAAGGATTCTCTCTTTCACTCTATTTTTCCCTACTCAAATACACAAAGTATTCTCCATTTTCTCGTCTTTTTTACCCTTTTTTTCGTCACTTACGCATAAAAGGAATAGGGTGCACTTATACGCCCAAATCCTCCACCAAACTCACGAAGAATCAGGTAACAAATCACCAAGATTTGTTGAGGATACTAAGAAATATTTGTTGAGAGAAAAAGGGCAGATTGGAAAACGAATCTGCTGAAAAGATGAGAGTAGTAAAATGGTGAATAGAGAGAGAAAAGGAAAAACCTAGTGAAATTGGGCTGACTTTAATTTTGGGCTCAAATTTTGTGTGGGCTGCTCATAAGTGGGTTGCAAGGTGGAATTTTAATGGGCCATTCACAAAGAATTCATTTGGGCCACACACTCTACAACATTATTTTCAATTATTATCCTTTATCACTCCTAATTAATTAATTAGAATACAATTAATTTCAAGGATATTTTAGTAATTTTCTATATTTTAGACTATAATATATGCGCATTTATTGATTTTCTTAATATGTCCACAACAACTCAAAACGACATTTAAATTGGGATGGGAGAAGTATTTAGAGCACACTAATAAAAAACACATGTTTTGAGAAACAAACATCTACAGTTAAACCTCTATAAATTAATAATGTCGGGGCTAGCAAAATTCTATTAAATTTAGCAAAATATTAAATTATCGAACTAATAATTTTAGTAAATTTTTACTGAATCGGGACATAATTAAATTATTATTTAAGCGATGTTATTAATTTATCGAGGTTCTACTGTAATTGCTTAAATTTAAGCGATAATACGGGGTGACTTTGCTAATTAATACTACTTCACATGGGACATTTTTAGCAATTTACTATTTTACAGGGGTACTAGTTGCAATTAGAAAATATTTCATATTCATCCCCAAAAAATATTTTCTGTGTTCACTGTTCTGCACTTGATCGCCAAATTCAGCTGAAGCCAACCCACCTGAGAAAAAAAAAAAAAAAAAAAAAAAAAGGGATGTACGATCATAGATTCCAGCGCACCGATCAATGGAAGCCGATTTATTCATGGCTGGAATCAATCGACACAGACGAAGTTATTAAATCCAAAGACGTCGTTGATTGGCTGACGGCGAACCCTGAAATCAGAGACCACTTGTACACCCGCCATTCCCGCTACCATCTGATGCACTACATCAAGAAATGCCATGTTAAAATCCTCAAGCGGAAGGAAAAACAAGTAATTTTTCTTCCCCTTTTTTTAATTTTTATTTTTTTGCTGTTTGAATTGCTTAGCTTTAATTTTCAATTGTTTGATCGATTGATTGATTGATTCGATGATTGTTTTGTAATCCAGAATTGTATTGTGTATAATTGAGATTACGTGGGTTTTCGAGCATTATGTTGTATTGTAATATCCAGGATTGCGAAAAAAAAAATTAAAGTTTCGATTTTAACCGAATTTGGGGCTTTCTTTCAATTGTTTTATTGATCGATTCGGTGGTTGTTTTAATCCAGAATTGTATTGTGTATAATCGGGATTACGTGGGTTTTCGAGCATTATGTTGTATTGAAATATCCAGGATTGGGAGGAAAAAAAAAAATTAAAGTTTCGATTTTAACCGAATTTGGGGCTTTCATGTATTATAGATCGATTGAATTTTAACTGAATGTTTAAAGTGCTTAGCTTTAATTTTCAATTGTTCGTTCGATTGATTGATTGATTCGATGGTTGTTTTTAATCCAGAATTGTATTGTGTATAATCGTTATTACGTGGGTTTTCGAGCATTATGTTGTATTGATATATCCAGGATTGAGAGAAAAAAAAAATTAAAGTTTCGATTTTAACCGAATTTGGGGATTTCATGTATACTAGATCGATTGAATTTTAACCGAATGTTTAAAGTGCTTAGCTTTAATTTTCAATTGTTTGATTGATTGATTCGAGCATTATGTTGTATTGAAATATCCAGGATTGGGAAGAAAAAAAATTAAAGTTTCAATTTTAACCGAATATGGGGGGTTTCATGTATAATAGATCGATTGAATTTTAACCGAATGTTTAAAGTGCTTAGCTTTAATTTTTAATTGTTTGATTGATTGATTCGATGGTAGTTTTAATTGCGTATAATCGGATGTACATGGGTTTTCGAGTATTATTTTGTATTGAAGTATCCAGGATTGAGAGAAAAAAAAAATTAAAGTTTCGATTTTAACCGATTTTGGGGGTTTCATGTATAATAGACCGATTGAATTTTAACCGAATGTTGTATTAAGATATATTCCGAGGTACAGCTTGAAATGTGTACATAAAAAATGTGAAGTGTGAACACTAAATGTATCTAATACTCTAGAATCATTTGGCTGTAAATTCCGTTTATCTATTTACGGCAGACATCGTATCGGATTTACATGTCTATTATATAACCGTTTTGTTTTTGGGCCTTGTGCAAAGTAATATGAAGTATCCGATATTCATTCAAGAAATTGGTATTGCATGTTCGAGTTTATTATATTCAATTGTGTCCTCTTTTGCTATATGTAGGATTTAAACACCCCGACTGATTAGATATGTTATACTATATGTCCTTGAGAATATTCCTGGTTAGAAAATCTCATTCTTGCTTTGCCCTTTAGGTCATTCTTCCAAAAAGAGCAAAATTGCTTTCATGGGACCCCACCTTCGAAGACAATATTTTATGGATAATTTTTTTTTTTAATAATCTTGGAACTTAGATTACAGACGAATGAGAAGAAAATGTCAAGGAAAAGTTAAGATTTGCAATATGTGTAAACAATGTAGATGTTATTATTGAATTTTGAATATTAGTGACTTAGGTCTTATATTTTTCGGTGATTAAATTATGAAAGCTTCCGAATATAAATGTCGTCCGACATCTCTTTCTTTTATGCAATCGGAATATAAATATAATTATTTGGGTAAATTACACCCACACCCCTGAGGTATGCTTAAATAACTTTAAGGTCCTTGTGGTATCGATAATTACACTCACCCCCTTGAAACGTAGTTATAAATTGTAATGGGATAATGCATTGGATACGTTATTACGATAGAGTTCTAACGGACTATTGGTTTCAGGAAGTGGTGGAGACAACAAAGAGTTATGGGTGATTTAAGAAATATTGGGGGAGCCATGTCACCCCATAACTCCCCATAACTCTATGTTATCTCCACCACTAGCTAAAAGTAATAGTCCATTAGAACCCTATCGGAATAATGTATCCAATGCATTATCCCGTTAGAGTTTCTAACTACGTTTCAGGGGGTAAGTGTAATTATCGATACCAGAGGAACCTTAAAGTTATTTAAGCATACCTCAGGGGTGTGGGTGTAATTTACCCTAATTCTTTTAGATGCTTATGGATTTCTGAAGTCTTTATTTGAAATTTTCTAGTTCTTGAAATCAATAAAAGTTAGATACTGCCTTCGACTCGCTTTAGATATTACTTTGATCATGTTATCTTCTTTGGTTGTAATATCATATTATGAGTCACTTGTCTGAATTTTTTTTTCCACGTAATAATTAATAGCTTCAAAGTGTGAATATAGTCTCTTAACTCAATATAATATATATATTTCAATAAAAACAGGGATTGATTGTTGCTAAATTACCTCCTTCTAAGTCTGATCAGAATGCTGACGAAAATTTTCCCGGTTCGCCTCACTTTATTGGTAAATTCGTCTTTCTTTTCGCCTCGTAATTTCTTACAATGTTTTTTTATTTTTTATTTTGTTAATAAACTTTAAGCCTCGTTTGGTTGCCACGATAGGACAATCCAAGATAAGATTATATAATCTAATGAAAACCCAATTTTATTATCGGACCATGGAAGAAGGTCCAATAAATAATCTCCCTCAAAAAGCAATAGAAGCCAAGATAAAATAATATTTCCGGGTCGACCCTGAAAATTATTGGGTTTACCAAGCTTCATAAAAATTCCAATTAGTTAGTTAATCATGGCTTATCTCCCCAACCAAACGAGGCCTTAAGAATACACTTTCCTCCCTTTTTATGTTCCTAGTTATCTTTAATTAGTGGAACAAGTCTTTCAATTTGGTCGCTCGGTTTTTTTTTTCTTTTTCTCTTCTTGGCTGAGAATGAAATATTACTATTGCAGGAAATAATATCAGCAGTATGCCTAAAGACAGTGAGCTGTATAGAGCAAAACGCAGTGAGGCTCGTCGAAAATACGAGATGTAAGTAAAATAATCCGAAAATATTTTTTTCTTGATTATTCTGAATCCCGAATGTATACTTACTTATATCTGGTATATCTATCTCTCTACAGTTTGGTAGAGTTCGAAAAACAGCTTATACCGCTCTTTGGAAAACGGGACAACTGATATACAGATGTGTGATACAGAAGTGATGTGTGTATCTATTTACATACAGAATTGGAAAACTATGGGAGTTAGTTGTTGTCTGTATGCTCATGTTGTTTGTAGGCTTGTAGTTTTGTATTTTGTAATTTTCTTGATTAGTTATGTGACATCATCTTGTTAGTAAATTATATTATATTTTTAATTTAAAAGAAAGCTTTTATATATTGATACAATCGTGTATATATGAGTATAGATAGTTAAATCTCTATAAATTAATACAGTCGAGACTAGCAAAATTCTAGCGAAATATTAAATTATCGAATTAATAATTTAGTGGGTTTTGACCGAGTTGGGACCAGAAGAAACTATTCTTTAAGTAAGCTTATTAATTTATGGAGGTTTTATTGTATCTGCTTTTTCTTTCTGATTTTTTTCTGTCTTATTTTTTCTTAGACTTTGTTTGGTTGCTACAATACATTAACATTCTGATATTATTATAATTTTATTAGGATCATATTATCTAGTTGGATTTGGAGTAGGATTTAATACACAACTTCCTAGAGTTGGGCCTTGAATTACAAAAGAAGTAGACCAAGTGGTCTCATCATATCCAAGCTATTCGTTATGCTAACAAACAATCCCTAAAATCTTTTGTTGGGGAAAATTTCAGTTTTCATACATCATGTTTGCGCCGATTTAGCATTTGGTTCTCTATATTCATAAAAACACATTTGGTTTCTCATGTTTCAATAATTATTATTTTTGATTATTTCCATCAATTTACCATTAGTCCGTCAGTTAAGGCAGTGATGGGCATACACGTGATTCCGTTAGTTTTAACGAAAATTTCACGAAATAGACTAAAAATGTTGAATTTTTGAAACATGGATGACCAAATGTGTTTTTTGTGAACATCGGGACCAAATGTGAAATCGGTGTAAACTTGAGAGATAAAAACTGCATTTTTTCCCTATTTTGTCGATCGAACTCCTCTAGTGAAAGATCGTTGTTTTATGCTTGATCCTAAAATAAAATAAAATGTTTGATTAAAAAAGATGCTCAATCTAATTAGGCAAAATACAGTTTGTGTCCCTTAAGTTTGTATCAATTTCATATTTGATCCCCCATATTCACAAAAAAAACACGTTTGGTCCCTTATGTTTTTAGAAATTCAACATTTTTAGTCATTTCCGTCAATTTTCCGTCAGTACTAACGGAATCAGTCGTGTGCGCATATTTGTATTTAGTGACGGGCTAACGGTAAATCGACGGAAAGGACTGAAAGTGTTACATTATTGAAATACGAGGGACCAAATATATTTTTTTGTGAACATGGATACCAAGTGTAAAATTGGGGGATGAAAACTGTGATACCCTAATCCTTAATTAATCGGACTCTATACTCACAGAATGGCCAGGTCAACTCATTTATTAAAGATAAAAACATAAAATGATACATTTTATTAACAACTTAATATTATGGTTGACGTGGTTATTCAACATCATTCATTTGTCAGTCAGCTGACAATATTCTACTTCGGGTTGGGCCTAAGTTATTTGGTACATTTATTAAACCTCTGCTCCTTATATGGGTGATATTAATCTGCATTACACTAAACTTTCATACCTGACTAATTGATTTTTTAATTAGTAAGATATTCGAGTTCTTATATTAGAGTTCAAGTTATATTAGTAAGATATTCAAGTTCTTATATTAGATTTCATGTAACAATTAAACCTCTATAAATTTATACACTTGGGACCACCAAAATCCTATTAATTTAGCGAAACGTTAAATTATCGATAAATTAATAATTATTAATTTATATATTAATTAATAACTTGTTAATTAATGAAATTATTTTCAATAAATAATTTTTTTTTAATTATATTGATGATGCTAAAATATAGCTCACCTAGGGTGGTGTAGAAAATGAGCAGGGAGAGCAAAGCAGATCAGTAGCTTGACAACTTGATGATCCTGAGGTACCTGCGATCATAGAACACACATGAACTAAGCCGGGGGTTGATCCGGCGGAAACCCCTCCGACGCTCAAGTCAGACGTGCTGATCATAGAAATAGTCCAGAGAATACATATTATCGTATTGCTCAGTTAATAGGACGTACCTTAATAAAATGAGGAAAACCTCTATTTATATGTCGTTTATTGGGTTGGGTTTGCTTTGTTGGGCCCAAGCCTTACTTGAAGGTGTTTGGGCATCGGTGATATTAGTCTTCGATATTGGACTCGTAGCCCAGTAGGTAAAGAAATTGTAGGCCCATTGGGTTGGCCCAATTAGGCATATCATTAAGCCCCCCACTCTCGAGTCGATGTGGGGGCCATGTTGTGATGGGTCTCAAATCGTGTCGAGAGTAAAAATTGGAGAAGTCGATCATTGGCGTATGGCCTAATGGTATGCGAAAACGCGTTGGAGCGTGTGTCGGAGGGGTGTGAATGCGCGTTGGCGCATAGCGCGACAAAGTTGCCGCAATATAAATTAATCGAGTCGTCGGTTTTGTCCCGCGACGATGTAGTAGCGATTTATCTCCTCGTGGGAGCTATCTTGTCGCGGGGTAATAGTGTTGATCGAGTTATCTCCTCGTGGGAGTTGTCTCGCGATAATGTAGTAGCACGGATCAAGTAATCTCCTCGTGGGAGTTGTCTCTGGGGTAATCGAGTTGATCGAGTTACGTCTTCGTGGAAGTTGTCTCACGATAATGTAGTAGCACGGAGCTAGTATTCTCCTCGTGGGAGTTGTTATTTTTCGACATTTTCAATGTTTTGACGCGTTGCTTGTATGTGTTTACATATAGCTTTCTGCGTGATGTACTTGAGGAGGGGATCAGGCTCTCAAGATTTTTTTTTTTATATGGGGGTCGTGCCCCTTGTTAGACCTCGTGGGTCTTAAGTATGTTTGGACCGTGGCCACGTTTTAATGAATGACCCATCGAAAACAAGTAGATAAATTTGAGTAATCAAGCTGGCCAGGCTATATAGATTCTCATAATATCTCTAAGTGCTTCTAGGATTGTAATCGTGCTAACTTGAGCTTGCGATTATATGGTGAATTTCGGGCGAGTTGTCTCCTCATGGGAGTTGTCTTGAGCGAAGTTGTAGGAGCATTGGATGATGCGCGATTTAGGCGCGTGTGGATTGAGGTTGCTCTGAGCGAGTTGTCTCCTCGTGGGAGTTGTTTCGCAGCGAGTCTTATTATCGAGCGAGGTGGTTGCACGTGGGAGTTGCCTTGCAACGGATTTGTAATATCGAGCGAGTTAGCTCCTCGTGGGAGTTGTCCCGCTGCGGGTTGGGATACCGAGCGAGTTGTCTCCTCGTGGGAGTTATCTCGCTGTAGGTTGTAGTACCGAGCGAGTTGGCTCCTCGTGGGAGTAATCTCGCTGCGGATCATAGGATGGAGCGAGTGGTCTCCTCGTAGGAGTTATCTCGCTGTGGGTTCGTAGGACCGAGCGAGTTGGCTCCTCGTGGGAGTTGCCTCGCAACGGGCTGTAGGATTGAGCGAGTGGACTCCTCGTGGGAGTTGTCTCGCTGTAGTTTTGAGACTAGAGGGGGTTAGCTCCTCGTGGGAGTTGTCCCACAACGGGCTATAGGACGGAGCGAATGGTCTCCTCGTGGGAGTTATCTCGCTATGGTTTCGTAGACCCGAGGGAGTTGGCTCCTCGTGGGAGTTGTCTCGCTGCGGGTTGTAGGACGTAGCGAGTTATCTCCTCGTGGGAGTTGTCTCGCTACGGGTTGTAGTTCCGAGCGAGTTGGCTCCTCGTGGGAGTTGTCTCGCAACGAGTGTGTAGGGCCGAGCGAGTTTGCTCCTCGTGGGAGTTATCTCGCTATGGCGTTGAGACCCGAGGGAGTTGGCTCCTCGTGGGAGTTGCCTCGCAACGGGTTATAGGACAGAGCGAGTAGTCTCCTCGTGGGAGTTAACTCGCTATGGTTTCGTAGGGAGTTGGCTCCTCGTGGGAGTTTCCTTGTAAGAGGTTGTAGGACCGAGCGAGCTGTCTCCTCGTGGGAGTTGTCTCGCTGCGGGTTGTATTACTGCGCGAGTTGGCTCCTCGTGGGAGTTGTCTCGCAAGCCCCCCACTCTCGAGAGGATGTGGGAGCCACGTTGAAAAGGGTACCGGATCTTGTCGAGAGTAGATCGGTGTTGTAGTCTTGCGTTAATCGTTGGCATGGTGTGGAGAAATAATTTTTTTTTTTTTTATTTGATAGCGAACGCAATTTGGTAGGTGCGTTAAAGAGCTCGCGCAATTTGGTGGAGCGCGTTGAAATTCTCGTGCGATTTGGAGAAGCGAGTCAAAATCTACGCGCAATTTGGTGGAGGACGGTGAAAGTTGAGCGCGATTTGATGGGAGCACGCAGTCCAAGGGCTCCTTGGAAAGCGCGCGCGCTCCAATTTTTTTTTTTTTTTTTTTTTTTTTTTTTTTTTTTTTTACTGCAGATGCGCGCGTGCTGTGCACGCGCGCGCGTCAGGCGCGTGTCGGCCACGCGCGCGTGCGGTGCACGCGCGCCTCTTCTCTTTTTTTTTTTTTTTTTTTTTTTTTGCTGAAGCGCGCGTGCTGTGCACGCGCGCGTGTCACGCGTGTCTGCCACGCGCGCGTGCGGTGCACGCGCGCCTCCTTCTTTTTTTTTTTTTTTTTTTTTCTCTCGGTGCGCGCGTGCACAGCTGGCTTGGAGGGGCGCGCGCGCGGCGGCTTGGCCGGCTCGGGGGGCGCGCGGCTTGGCTAAAATATATATATATATATATATATTTTTTTTATTTTTTTATTTTATCTCATTTTTTCTTCTTCTTTCTTCTTCTCTTTTTTCTTCTTCTTTTTCTTGTGTCTTTTTTCTTCTTTTTTCTTCTTCTCTTTTTTCATTCTCTTCTTTTTTCTTCTATTTTTTTTTTATTTGGTTGATATTCACCTCCTTGGGGATGTTTTATTTTTTGAATAGGATATTACCCTCGTTCCTTGAGATGGAATGTGCACCCCCTTGGGGATGTTCTATTTTTTGAGTAGGGAGATTATCCTCGTTCCTTGAGATCGGATGTGCGCCCTCTTGGGGATGTTCTATTTTTTGAGTAGGGAGATTATCCTCGTTCCTTGAGATCGGATGTGCACCCCCTTGGGGATGTTCTATTTTTTGAGTAGGGAGATTATCCTCGTTCCTTGAGATCGGATGTGCACCCCCTTGGGGATGTTCTATTTTTTGAGTAGGGAGATTATCCTCGTTCCT